CGGGACCTGTAGGCAAGACTTCAATTACACACCTCCCAACGTTAGATTGCTATCCAATCATCGTCTTCATTTGTGTAGTTGTCAGCTTGCGGCTTGTGCGATAGCTGAAGCCTTAGCTCCACCTGTATATAATTGGGGTGCTGTTCCAATGTCGGCTATGCCTGATACCATGGTGTACCCTATTTCGGCCATGAATTTTTACATACTCCGAGTGGACGGTGTGTCTTCTCTCAGAAAAGCAGGACGGGCCCACCGATGTTGGATTTAAATGTCGATGGAGATTGCCGTGAACATACGTTGAATGTTGAAAACAAGCCAAGGAATTGCGCGCTAACCAAGATCCTGCGACTAGCCTTCTTTTGAAGGAGCTCTGTTCCCTTCTGGCTGCACTCCTTTGTCCACTGGGCCTCGTGTTTCTACCTTTCAAATCGCTTTTATATTTGGATATCTGCAATCGTGTGTCTGCGTAATTACCCACCACTCCTCTATCCGATTCTACAACTATCGTGCAGGCAACTCCTTCACGCCAGATTTCTCTCTTCGTGGTTGATCAGTCCCACCTACCTTGCATCCCCATTCACTTCGATAGGTCATGAACTTCTTCAAAGCCAAGCAACGCAGTCCCGGCGACCTCGTCCGGAGCGTCCGCGAGGCCATTTCCAAGCTCGAAGTAGGTCCGCCAGAAGCTAGACGACGTGTGAGTGCACCTGTTTCGTGGCCACCACGTCGTAGCAAGCCGATGCCCCCTGACCCGATAACTGACGTACATATGGATGTCTCATGACTCTGAACCTTACTCGGGTTAGGCTACAGAGGACGTGTCCAAGAATCTGGCGCAGATGAAGGCACTTCTCTTCGGGGACGGCGATCCGCTTCCGGAACTCGTGGCTCAACTTGCACAGGAGACCTACAACACCGATCTCCTTCTGAACCTCGTTCTCTATATCTCTCGACTCGATTTCGAGGCACGCAAGGACGTGGCCCAGATTTTTAATAATCTTCTTAGGAGGCAGATCGGAAGTCGCTGGCCGACGGTCGAATACCTCGCTGGTGCAAAGCATGAAGTCATCTTCGCGACACTCAAAGGATACGAGAACGAGGACGTGGCGCTCAATACGGGAATGATCCTAAAGGAGATGCTTCGGCATGAAGCCCTTGCAGAGATTCTGCTATATTCGAACGAGTTGAGAACCAATCGACCACCTTCTGTCACTCATCGACTCATCCGAACGTAGATTCTTTTCTTTCCCACATTACATAGAGGACACCACTTTCGGAGTCTCATGTGATGCATTTGCCAATCTCAAGGTAGGCATTAATGCCACTTACTAAGAGGTCGCCTATTCAGTTCAGCGATAGGAAACCCTCACCCGGCACAAACCTATGGTGGCAGAATATCTGGAAAAAAACTATGATCGTGTATGTTTTGCTTTCTCGCTGCTTTTCAATGGACCATGCCTGAACATTCCCGGCAGTTCTTCGGGATGTACTCCACGCTGATTAACTCTACGAATTACGTGACAAAGCGGCAATCACTCAAGTTACTTGGCGAGATCCTGCTCGACCGAGCCAACTTCAATGTGATGACGCGGTACATCGCGAATGAGGCAAATCTCAAGTTAATCATGAACTTACTGAAGGACAAGAGCAAGAATATCCAATTTGAAGCTTTCCATGTGTTCAAGGTGCGGCTCTCTCAGTTAGATGGAGAGTGATCATTGTTGAATCACATTACTTACTGTAGGTATTCGTGGCGAATCCAAAGAAACCACCCCAAATCGAGGCCATCTTGAGGCGGAACAAAGACAAACTGCTCAACTTTCTCAAGTCGTTCCACAACGATAAGGAGGACGAACAATTTAGCGTGAGTTACCTGTTTGGCTCATTTATATTATAACCCTTGTCCCATGTTTCGCTGCTTTTTCTATTTAGGATGAGAAGCAGTTCCTTATCATGCAAATTCAAGGCTTATGATCACGCCTTTTCGGCCCCTCGTTCACACGTCCGGTCTTTCATTCATTCTCCCAGTCATACCCACCGTTATCCTTTGTTTTGTTGCGCTGCACTTCTATTCTTTTATTTTGTGGGATAATATTTCCCTTGCTACAATCCGTCGGCATTCGTTGCGTTAAATCTACTGCAATTCGAGCATCTTCATGTGGCCCTCCGCAGCTGCTTTTGCCTTGCGACGATAGACAAGATGCACCGCAGCTCAGGCGTGAATCATGCCACCGAGAGAACCACATTGAAAGCTTACTGCGCTCAGGTCTTTGAGAAGTTCGGAAATGAAAGGACTAGAATCCGCACCTGCAAAGGGCCCATTGGGTGATGTGGATTAGCTGCATGTGTGTGCATGAACTGGGAAGCTGCCTATCTTTCTCCCTAAATATTACAGTATTGTAGCCTGATTTTGTGTTTGTTGACTCCGGGCACTGCTGAAAATGTGAACGTTGTGGAGGAAGAGAGAGATCTGGATTTGTATACCGCGTAGGCGGTAAAGCTTTACAGTGGCTGAGTGGTCAAGGTGATATATCAATGCGAAAGGGGCTGAGATTGGACGGAATGGAGTGGAGGTGTGAATTATTTCAAGCTGTGCCTTGGATGTGCTCCAAGGATGGCAACTCAAATCAATTGCGAACGTACGTGCGTCCCTCGGCATCACGGCAGGCAATCTCAGTTCGGAAGACGCCTCATTTCTCTGACAAACGTTATTGTGGCAGGTCGGGGGATTTCGGCACCTGGGGCAAGTGTGATATGGAATTTCGGCAAGTCCCGATACCTTCAAGTCACCTCTAAGTTCGTCCCCTAATTTTTGGTACGACAAGTGTATCATGGTACGTATGGTTGTCTTGCATGTCTTAGCGTCGATGTGTATGTCTTAGGCGATTTCATGTTTCATTATCTTTGTGGCTTGGGCTGGATGGGCACGTTCGCTCATGGATGCACCTTCTTGTTTCGGCTTTGCATCCATAGGCACCCAAGAGTAAACCCGTCAAAGAGACCGCCGCTGTGTCTCTTGGACCCCAAGTCGCAGATGGGGAACTTGTATTCGGCGTTGCCCATATTTTTGCCAGTTTCAACGATACTTTCGTTCACGTCACTGATCTGTCTGGAAAGGAAACCATTGTCCGTGTCACCGGTACGTTGCCTCATACTGCATTGGATCTTGGTTGACCCTAATGTGAATATGAATTCCGTAGGTGGAATGAAGGTCAAAGCTGATCGCGATGAATCCTCGCCATATGCAGCCATGCTGGCTGCTCAGGATGTTGCCGTCCGTTGCAAAGAAATCGGAATCACCGCGCTCCATGTCAAGTTGCGTGCTACTGGAGGTACGGGAACTAAGACCCCTGGTCCTGGCGCCCAGAGCGCTCTTCGCGCCCTGGCTCGTGCCGGGATGCGGATTGGCCGTATTGAGGATGTGACGCCCATCCCAACTGACTCCACGAGGAGAAAGGTGCGCACCATTTATTTATTTTTTTTGCCGAGGTTGTCACTGCGTTCTTAATTGTCATGGCGTATCGATTAGGGTGGTCGCCGTGGTCGTCGTTTGTGATTGTGTCCTTGGTTTCTGTTCAGCGCTCTTGCCCCTCCCCTGGCGGCTAGGAGCGTTCACCAAAAAAAAAATGTCTGATGATTTTCCCTATGTCGACGTGCGACGCGCAGCGGGAAGTGACTTCACCCGTCCCGTGGTCGTGCATTTCTCTCGATTACTGCTCATTAATCTGCACCAATATATGTTGACTATTTGAGCAAGTGTCAATCGTCCGGTTCTTGTCTGCCCCTTAGCGACTGTCCGCCAGGGGGCCCTACATGCCCAATATGCTAGCATCTTCACATGAATGCTAGTCCTACTATTGCCTGACCGCGCCTGCGGAAGATTTGCGCGTGGACACAGGGAAATATTTATGCCCTTAGATGGATGATAAGCCCCCTCCAATTCACCAGTTCCGCTGATATGCTATTTCTAGTCCATTTCCTGGAGACCTAAGAAGGGAATATATATGGGCAGTGACCGTCTCGGTCACACTTTTACGGGTTAATTTTGTGGCTTTGGTCTGACTGCAATCACCTCGTTGTCTCTGCCTGTAGGCTCTTTCAATTAAAGCTAATGGCCTTGCGCCCCGGACCGTGGGCACTGACAAAAAGTCGCAAATCCCCATTTTTGGCTAGCGCTTTTGTAGTGCCTTGGTGTATAGCTAGCGGCCCTTTCCGTTTCCCGCAACACCGAACCCATGCTCTATAGTCCAGTAACTATGAGTGAGCGAGACACATCTGCAAGTCATTCGACATGTGCATATGCATATGCAGATGCTGTGCTCTGAACCCAAATATCGTTTTTCTGTGCCTGTCCTCATGAAATGATTTGCGGACGGCTTTTATGGCGAACCAAATGAGGCCAAGGGAAATTACTGTACTGCAGATCCGTCAAATGGGAGGTTCGTGTACAGCGCCGCTCAAAATCGATAGGGAATTTTGAATTTATCCTCCACCGCCCGGGAGAGGTGACCGGGGATCCACGATCCATGGTGTCGTGTTGAGGGGGACATGGGGAATACTAGTTCCTGGAAATTGGGGGGGGGGACAGCAACCACCATCCCTTTCACCAACTTGAAGGACACCACCGTCCTTTCACCGAAGAAGCATGCCAGCAAACCGCCTCGGACTCAGTATCTATGGTTAGACCGGTCCCCGGACCTGTTGGCCCTTGGAATGAAAAGGAATCCATTCAGTACTTTAGATCAAGCTTAGGGGCTCGCAAAATCAAACACTTCTTATCGATATGATTATTACTGCAAATAAATCGCAAAATTCTCCTGAGCATCCTACCTAGCCTTGAAAGAGTTCGAACCTACCATAGAACGTCATTTTAGAACTTACTTGGAGGGCTTTCCTGCGGGACCGCAAGCGTAGATCGAGACCCTCCGAAACGTTCGGAATTTCTTAGGCCACGTACGGGTATCGCCGAGCGTGCTATTATTCCGTTATGGGAAAAAGAATGCCCAAACCCTGGCTTGAACAGGGGACCTATACATCTTCAGTGTAGCGCTCTCCCAACTGAGCTATTTAGGCACGAGTTAATCGTTTCGGGCGCCCATCATGGGGCTATGAGACCTGGTTAGGATTAATTCTCTAGGAGGGCCCTCCGCGCCTCGCTTGCCTCGAGGCCGAGGGCTAAACTGGTTCAAATAGAGGCGTGGAAAAGAGTTATGGAAAGCGAAGACTACGGCGAAACTGGGGTCACCTGTCAAAAATGGTGGCCCCGTTTCCGGCGAGAAGGGCGAGATTACCAAATTTGCGCTAGTTACCGCCGGCGCCTGTACACGTCGCACGCACAAAGAATTCTAGTTCTTTGTACGTTTCTATTGCCCCTTATTTATATGTATACTGCAAGCTCTGTCATTTGGCAATCGGATGAATAACGCGGCAGTACGGGGATCCCTCCCCCGCGCCTACTCTCTTCCAACCACACCTCGCCTGGGGCATCTCTACCAGCCAAATGGGCACGCCTGAAGCTCCCGACTTGACTGGCTGCATCGTTCGCTTGGGCTCGGAGCCCATAGCCACGGTGGGTACTCCTCAGTTTGGAGAGGGGACCTGCAGTGCCCCGCGCCCAACGATCCAAACCGATGCCTTCAGGTGCTCTTGCCGTTCTTTGATGGCTCCCCCTACCGTTCCTATGTGCTGACGGGATAGGACTAGGTCGCTATCAAGGTGCTTCGTGCATCTCATACAGATGAGCATACGGCCAAAAGGAAGCTCCAAAAGGTATTCCTGGTCCGCAGCACTTTGAGCGGGGCAATCTTCGCTCATGATGGACTGCAGCGTCTATATGCAGAAATGCGCGTATGGACCCACTTGGACCACGAAAATGTAGTCACATTGCTAGGCCATACTCAAGAACTCGAAGGACCTGGTCTTGTGTCAATATGGCATCCTCATGGCAGTATTCTGAACTACTTGGCGAATAATACGGCCGCCAACCGAGAGGTTCTTGTATGTTACATCGACCTGCTTGGACCGATAGCTCGATTACTCATGGGTTTTTATCCTGACACAGTGTGCAGATATTGCATTGGGCTTGCAGTACCTACACGAACATGAACCTCGTATCATACATGGTGATCTCAAAGGAGTACGTTTGAATGCAGCTCCCAGACCGGTGGTGGTGTTTGTCTCTCATAATTGATATTCAGGCAAACGTTTTGATCGACTCGAAGGGGAAAGCCAGCATCACTGATTTCGGCCTGTCGATAATCCTCGATGGTGCACCCACTGGCCACACGTCATCGAATTTTGGAGGATCGTTGCGATTTTTAGCACCAGAACTTCTCGATGAATCCAGCAGAACAATACACACAGACATATATGCATACGCATGCACTTGTATTGAGGTAGTATTCCTTCGCTACTTTATTCTACTATACTCTGGTTTATATCTTACTTTTATTTGTGATTCCCTCTAGATCTTGTTTGACCAACAGCCGTACCACCAAATCTCCAATCAAGGTCACCTCCTGCGGGCCATAATCGAGAACGTACCACCCTATAAACCGCCGAACGAGGAAGTCACCTTCCCCTTGTTTTTGCGACTTTTGCAATGTTGTTGGCAACACGACCGATCCAGTCGGCCAGCATTGAGTTTGATCATCGACATCATACAGCGCTGCCTATACCGTACTTATTGGGAAAACCTCACCGTTCATCAAGGCATTGTATGTGCTCTTTCTGTACAATGCGCTCCCAGTTTCGTGACCTAGATTATTCGGCTACAGGGGCAACGCCTTCGTCTTATGGCCCTTCCTGAAAATGAGCGCGAGTGCGAGGCAACCCTGTCCGCAGTCGCCGACGATGGACTCAGCATCGACGTAATGTACCATTCCACCTCGTTCTGTCGATTTCCGATCTATCAGCGTTATCGCTGGACGTGGATGAATGGAAATAGACTTGAACGTGCGTCGTCTTTCGTTATTTCGCATATTTAGGAACAGGCCCTGATTCTCCAGTAGACTCGAAGGATCCCGATCCATCCCATTCTCTTAACGAACATTCTGACTGCTCCATTCTCGCCACCTCTCCATTCCTTCCAGGAGAGGCCGTGCCGTCATCACCCTCATCTCCACATGTCTCAGAGTGGAGACGCTATTCAGCGAAATTTCGCCTGCCCTACTCATCTACTGTGTCCTACGAAACATACAACGAAGCCCCCTTTAAATTGGTATGCATAGTGCTTGGCCGTAGGGTCGCCCGTCTGATTCTTTATCCACTTATAGCCCGTCCATAGTCCACCCCCCCTGAAGCCTCAAGATGGTAGTGTTTCTCAGGCAGATCCTCCCTCGTTATACATTTCGTCTCCACAAACAATACCCTCTGATTTTGGGTTCCGACCACCCACCAGTACTCCCCCTTCAAGCTCGTCCCCACGACACGCACCTCCACGCCTGTTACCGCTACCCGGAGCGAGGGGTCGCTCTGGGCCTCGAACTACACATGGGATGCTGCCACCACTCGTCATCCCGTCATCCCCTCTCTCCAGTGCCCAGGAGGGACCCCTCGGCAAAACACATGTTATCCGCGCATCCCATTTTTACCTCCCGTCACCTTCCTCGCCAAACACCAAAGAAGCCATGCCCAGGAGTGCCGGCCCACAGCAACACTATCCATCGCGAGATCAGCCACTGCCTTGGTATCTTCGACCGTCTTGGACAGCATCAGAGGTCATTATAGACGCACATGGCCAACTCAAGGCAGGAACCGTGCGGTCTCTCATTGAAGGGCTCACAATGAATGAACCAAGTATGTGTTTGATCCTTGAATCCGACGTTGAGTGTTCATCTCATAATTCCATCTCCAGACGTCTCCCAAGATGTGTTTCTCTTGACGTATCCAACATTTATGTCAGCGGCGTCTGTCGTTGATTTACTAGCAGAACGGTATGAAATGGGGGAGCCTCGTGGTCTGTCCCAGGACGAATTTGAAAAGTGGAAGACTAGGAAGTTGTGGCCAGTGCAGAGCAAGTATGTCACTTTAGTGCTGTCCTCTTAGCCTTAACTGACGTGGATATCAGCGTCCTGAACGTTATCACCAGCTGGCTGATGGGACACCACATGATTGAGTTGGGTTCCACCGTTGTGGATGGGGTCAAACAGTTCCTCCAGTTAATCCGATCTCATCCCAAGAACGAAACCGTTGCCAAGAGACTACTGAAAACGATTGATTCGATGGTGTGTATATTCACATGCCGCTCATTTACACTATCTGGAAATCTGAGAGTCGTTGGTATGCTTTTCCCACCTTGTACCATAATTAGGTGGATGATCGGCACTGTCTCCCGTCTCCGGTCTCTGCTTTATCAAGCCCCATCAAGACCAAGAGGTCCTATCTCATTTGGCGCCGCCCACAAAAAGTGGATTTCATCACCCTCAACCCTACCGAAGTGGCGCAACAGCTCACCCTCATGGAATATCGACTCTACAACGAAATTCGGCCCAGCGAGCTTCTCACTTGGTCCAGCTGTCAAGACCAGTTGAATCCCAAGGTCAGGAACCTCGCACGTTTTCTCCATTTCAACAAATGCATTGCCAAATTCGTGGCCTTGTCAATCTTTTCGGCTTCGGAATCGCCTCGCCGGGATGAGACGATCTCCCATTTTCTCCAAGTTGCGGAGGTAAGGAACTTTCCAATTCTTTTGTGTGGAATCCACCTGCCTACCTGCCTGTCACGGGGCGGGGGGAGAGATGACTGAATAGGGGCTCTCTATCTCAGATGTGCCGTACCCTGGGGAATTTTTCCACAGTTGAATCCACCATTGCGGGCATCCACGCGGGATTTTCGCCCTCGCCCTCGGAAGATCTGGAAAACATCCAGCTCGTCGAGCCGCGACTGGAGGAGCTTCGGACGTTAGTCAGTGCTGACAGTAATTACAGCGGTTTGCGGGCCGCTTACCAAGGCCTCTCGGGCTCATGTGTGCCGTTCATTGGTCAGTGCCTGTCTGTGAATCTTTTCCCCATAATTGGCACCGCCCCCCGTCTTCTTTAGTTTGAAAGAGGGTTTTTTTAAATTAATAATTCTTGTTCTTCTGCTACAGAAATGTATTTGCCATTGCTGGTCGATGTGCACCAGCAATTTCACGATAATGTCCCTGTCCCTGTCGACTCGGGCGGTGGTGGCGGCAGCGGCAGCGGCGGCTCGCATCGGTCTACGCTTATCAACTTTATGAAACGCCAGCGTCTGGCTGAAGTCTGCAAGCAGGCCTTGCGATTCCAGGGCATGCCGAATTCCAACTTGATTCATAATCCCGAATTGGCGGAGATCCTGGACGATAAATTGGAGTTTGCCAGTTCCCCTGTTTAGTATGTGTGCGTATTGTGCTGGTCTGGTTGTATGTTTTACTATTAAGATATTTATTAACGTGATCTCATTATTACCTACCTGGGGATTCTTGCCTCAAATAGGGATGTCGAACGGCGGTTCTCACCACTTCTTCACCGCCGCCTCGATCATTTCGATTTACTGTCTCTCCTCCTTGCAACTGCTACCAACCTGCTCACTCATGTACCTTTTTTTTTTGCACCGCTGACTGGTTCAAAGATGATACTCCTCAGACAAAAGCCTGGTTACCTATACATTGGACATTTAACACCGGACTTGTATTTAGCAATCATTCTTTTTCTCCTTGCTTGCTTCTATGTTATCTTGGCGTAATTTTCACCCCCACATCATCCTCGTCATCCGTCATCATTATCATCTTGGACACGAAATGAATACGATGTTTTTTTTGTAGTGACGACAATTACAGAGTGACTATCAAGCATGAACTTGTAGACCTCCTAGCCTTTGGAACACAAGTGACACACGCAAGTTGGCTATCACGGAGGACGTGATGAGCGTCAGTCAGGCCTTCCACCATTCTCTGGGAGCCGGTGTCTGTGAGAAAGAAGCTCGGGACGGCTCTCGGACTGCCTGCCGGGGGGTACGGGAATCGGCGACGATCGAGGCGGTGGATGGAATGGCTGTTGCTGTTGTTGGTTTGCGTAGGAGATGCAACTACTACGCCAATCAAGGCGACGGCA